CCATGAGTATGATAGTCGTCCGTCTTGCTGAAGCTCGAGGAGTCCTCCTCAGATGGGTCACCATGGTAATAGACAACGGTGCCTCCAATCCAGGCTTTGCTCGTCCGCAAGTTCCTGAAGAGTCGCAAGGTAAGACGGTGCAAGGATCCCATGATTCTCTAGGGGGTTGCCGAGCTGTTTCGGTATACGGCGCCTCCTACCAGATCCCGCTGAAGTGACAGAGTCATCTGACGGGGGGTTGTAGACCGGAATAGGTGCAGGATCATGAGCAGCTTCCATAACAGGGGCTCCTTGCACATCCGACGCCGTAGCCCACCAGAAATAGTTGCAGCGGCCCGTTGGCGAGTTGATGTTCATCCTCTCGCACTATTGTATCAGTATCAGCATCAGCATCAGCAACAAGGAAGCAGGGTAGAGCCCCCTTACCTTTGCATACAATTTTCCGTAGTTGCCGTTCTTCTTGGATTTAACAGGCTTGATTATAGCTGGTTGTCCACAGTCTGTACAGATATGCATATATACAGCGGCAAGTAATATACAATGATGTGTCGCATGTAGTGGAAGTATCGCCTAAGGGTAATGGGGTAGAAAGAAGTAGGGGGGAGGAAAAGAGACGAAAGAAAGAGAGAGCACAGTCCCAACTGGAATGACAGCGGATGTGAAGAGTGAACCCATGTCGTAGCCACTGCATCATCAGCCACCGTGGACGGCTTGGACAGTCCGGCTGACCTGGACGTCCCGGATTCTCGAACTCTCAGATTTCCTGGAGTGAGGGAGACACACGAAGTTTGGCATTGTGATTGTGGCGGGATAGCCACAAGTGCAAATAGACGCAAATATGCTTCGCTATTCGAGTGGCTGAATTGGCTGAACACCGCACAGACATACGCGCGAATATGTCGTCTATTGGCCCCCAGATTCCGCCGCATTTACTCAATCAGACTAAGCCATCGACATCCGACGACGACGAAGAAGCTGGTCCGCAATTACCACCTGAACACGCCTCTGCAAATAGGTCAGGTCCGTCCGCGGCATCACTACTTCAAGCACAGTATTGACTGGTCATAATGTTACAGATGAACAACGAGGCCAGAAGCAAGAAGAGGAAGAAAGCGATGAAGACGACTATGTCCCGGCTCTTCCGCCTGACCTGGCAGCCTCACGCAGAGCTGGACCCTCCCTACCTTCTCTCAGCCCGCCTCGCGCCTCACCTCCCAAGAGGGTGATAGGACCATCATTCCCACCGCCCAGTTTTCAGGAAGACGATGACGATGACGAAGTGGGCCCTGTGCCGTTACCAGCAGGAGCGGGCCCCGTAGAGGAGGATGGTGTGAGGGAATTCCTGGAGAGAGAAGAGAGAAGACGGAAGGCGGCTGAGGTACGTTGGCATCTAGTTTCATTTCGCTCTAGCCCACTCATTGCCATGACTTCAGGACGCTGCCAAACCGAAAGCGCTGCAGCGAGAAGAGTGGATGTTAGTCCCTCCTTCGTCGCAGGGCCTTCTGGGATGTACGTTGACCTCCGTCCTGTTTTAAAACACTATATAATCATCTTATACTAGCCTTGGACCCTGCGAAGCTACGTCAAGCGCGACAGTTCTCTAAAAGCACGAACGTCAAATCGACCGATACGACTCTCTGGACCGAGACACCCGCCGAGCGTCAGCAGCGCCTCGCCGACGAGGTGTCGGGTAAAAAGCGGCGTATCGAGAACGCTGAGCCGGATGTGGATGCGGAGGACGCGTTGAGGAAGAGGAGGCGCGACGAGGTCGTGAGGCAAGGCGTCGAAGAGTACACGGTGAGCCTTTGCCTTGTCGTGCATCCGTCTTTTCGCTTTTGCGACTTGTTATCCCTTGTCTGACGGAATGCTCTCCCTCGTTGCTCGGTCGCGCAGCGCAAACACCGTGGCCCGACATTACTACAACAACATGCGACTTCCGAGAAGTCTTCGAAAGATAAAGCTGGGTCGGAGGAGCCGCCAGTTATATGGGACCACGCGAGGGACATGGCTCTCGGTGGTCGCTTGATGGACGACAAGAAGCGTGACCAAATTATCAACGACTCGAAAGGCTTGAGCGATCGCTTTGGGGCTGGGCGGACAGGAGGGTTCTTATGAGTGCATCGGCTTCATCGTAAGCTTTTCCATCTGGCATTTATCGCTATTCAGCTGTAGTGACTGTAGAGTAAACTCTTGTCGTGTATTTGAAGGAATACGACTAACGCGAACAGTTGGGCGCAGTGATGAGGGGACAACCTACGCCTACCTTGACTATGACAATTCCGAATAATCTTGCCATAGCCAGGGCGCGACGCAAGGTCACTATACCTGGTAGAACGGCAAGATATCCGGGAGGAAGGAGCCCATCCCTCTCGCCTCGTATAATTACATAGGCGGGGCCGATATCGATTATCGCTAATCACTAGTACTGTGATTTCTCCATTCGTCGATACCCTTGGCAGCAGCGACCACAGCCAGCCACAGCCATGGTCAACGCGCGGGTCGCATATCATCAGGGCCTAATAAGTTCAAGCAACTGTAAGCTTGATCGACATAAAATGATACATATAACGCCTGTGGCATAGCATGAAACTCTGGCGCCGCACCCTCTGCTGTATTCGCACTTCGTCGGCTTAGAAGCGACCTTCAGTCGAACCGAATGGAGCCCCATCCTTCACTGCAAGTGAGTGCTCCCCATTTCAAGCTTCCAGGCATACGTGATCTCAAGGTGCTTTGCAGTATCAGTATGCAAGGGTAGACGTCGGGTCTGTAGGCACGTCTTCGCCTAAGCCCATGCCACATCGCGCAGAGTCCGAGAAATATCCGACCGAGGCGTCGGCGTTCGTAGTGGCAGACCATGGGCATGGAACTCGTCTCAGGCTCCATCTGTTCAGCTCCGTGTTAGTTGTGCTATGGGTCGCTTTTGTCGCTGCTATGGTGGCCGTCCTTGAGCGGTCCGTCGCGGTGGCACCTACGAGAGTGTCCCTGCCCTGGTATTACAGCAATGATGGGCTGCCGACCGTCATGAGTACGATATTCGCTCAAGCCCACGCCCCAATCACGGCAATGCATCTCTCGCGCCTCTCTATCTCAGGTCTTCGAACCTCCAGCGGGAGTCCACGTACCTGGACAGAGCTGTTCTGGATGGCAGACCAGCAGTGGGCAGGTCCAGTGGGCATTATCACGACAGGCTGGACAGCCACTAGACGGCGCATCGGCCCATCCTTTGCATTCTTCTTCTTCTCGGGCATCACTCTCCTAACTGCAGTCACGCCGCTTGTCCTCAACCGCGCGTACCCCATCAAGACCTTGGACATCGCCATACCGCAGGTATTCTTTCCGAGTGCTCTCTCCCCCTCAAAATTAGGTGGAGTAGACGCTTACGCAGCCGTGGCTGCTGGTGCTGGTGCTTGGGCAACGAACCAATCCGTCATTAGTCTCTTCAACTCGACAACATACACACCCGTCGGGCAGGCCCATGTTCACGCATCTGGCGACTATTTTTTCGCAGGAAACGCCCTCGATCTGGACACTCATCTTCCTGGAGTGCGACTCCGAGGTGGTTGCAACGTCGTCGATTCTACCGACACCCGCTTCAATAACACTCCCCAGGGATTTTCCCAGTTTTGTTCCACGGCGCTGAGCAATATAGGTTTCTCTATGAAGACGGTTATTGCCCCAAATGCGTTAGGTATGGAAATTAATATGCTTTAATCAGCCTACGACCTTTTAACGGAGTCGTTTCACAGCCTTGAATGTATCAGCTTGTACTACTGACGAATCCTTCGCTCCCTTCAACCAGTCTCAAACCTCCAATTCCACGACATACTTTTGGCTAGTAAACACGGGAAGCAACGGCATGGTCAAGGGCGATCTCGTCGCCGGCGTCGTACGTTGTGATGCTCATGCTGTGTTCGGCAATGCTTCCGTCCAAGGGCGCTATACTTCATTCGACCACTTCACGCCGGACAAGCTGTACGTCCCTTCGCAAGCAGGTGAACCATTGCTAGGCCCAATGGCAGCGATGATGTACTACCTCCAAACAGTGCCCAACTCGGAGGCCGGGCAGGCAGCTGCGATCGACGGGCTGGGTTATTGGCAAGTCGGCATCAACCAGGGACTGTACTATATGTCTCCCTCCCTGGACGGATTTGCGACCGCTCTTTGGAACGGCATCGCGCACATGGCGGCGGCCATCGAACTTGTCGGTCGCGACACTAACACGCCCTACCAGGCGACCAGGCACGTCGCGGTCTCTGGCCGCAAGCGCGATGACCGCTTCTTCGTAGCAGCGATGTGCTTGCTTGCCGTGTGGGTTGTTGGACTCATCGTGTCTTCCGGTCTTTGGCTTCGCCCGGCGTTCGGCGACAGTTTGGATAGCTATGCTGCAGGCCGGCTTCTGGCTGAACAGCCCGATTTGGTGGAAAATGAGGATATCGGGACACTAGATAATAACAGACGTCTACGTGCGAGATTCGACCCCTTACGGTGAGGCCAGAAGGGTACTGTCGTGTTTGCTAGTGGTCCTCGTTTCTTTAAGCGGCAGCCTCTCCATGCTCTACTCTGTTAAGTACTGAATTGCGACTCTCATGTACAGTGCAGTAGGTCCCCACTGACGTTGTTCCTGAGCAAGGAGATGGCACAGAGGAAGCGTTGGGATATGGGGGGTTCAGGAGCTGGATGTTGTGTTCACAGCAAGACAGCCAGTATCGTATAATTTATTGTTCAAAAGACTGTCAACCTTACCCCCCACATCTCGCACACTGGTGCGAGGCTGATGAGGCACAAGCCGTGGCTGGCATGTTCAGATGACCCAGACTGCTCCTGGTAGTCGGTCTGTCCTGGACGAAGGAGGACGTGGAGGATAAAGGTCTGTTCTGTAGTATTGAAGTTCCTGGTTCAACGGGGAGCCGCTAGGCCGCGCGTGTATGTAACCCCAGGTCCGCCATGTAATAAAGGACAATATCCCAATAACCAAACGATCCTAACTGAACGAGTGTGATTCCTGAGTACAACATTTCGAATTCGCCTTCAAGGCTGGTTCACATTTGACTTCTCTCCTTCCGCCTAATCATACACCGACCGATCCCTGACTTTCGGTGGCTCCGGGAGCTTAATGGTGCTGACGCTCATATGCCGGGCCTTCATGACAGGAACGGGCGGCGGGTCCTGGCGCTCTGCGTCTGGGCTGTCTGGTCCGTACATGCTGAAGCGCACAGAGCGTGATGTGCGACTTGGTGATATCGGGCTGTGTAGCTCCACTTCGATAATGCGGGCCGTCTTGTCGATACTTTTGCCGAGGCCTACACGCACGATGATCAAGGTCGGTACGATGCCCTGGGGAGAAGGTGATCCAGGTGGAGGCGTGGGCGAGGGGAGTGGGACTCACCACCATCTGGCTACTGATTGCGCCTGCGATATACTGTTGGGAGACGGGAAATCGTGTATCTTCATTCATTGTCAGGAGCAACACACTCACCTCGTATTTATTTGGCAAAAGCGCGTGCATGATCAACCACACTAGAAGGGACGCGGAAAATAGCGCGCCAGATTCAATTCTTTCGTCATAAAATACGTCTGTTAGTGGTCTCCGGCAAAGGCTTTCCCAACCTACACGAGGTTTGCAGCAGAGCGTGATCTGCCAGCTTGCGGCCCCAGCGTGGTCCGCACCTGATGTGACTTCCACCATATGCGTGCCGCTACTCCAGAATAAGTCAAGGCATCACCTGCGTGCTGAAGGAGAGCGATATGCACCAATGAGGGTAGTGACAACGATGTTCGTTGCGAGCGAGCATGCCATGTAGGTCTCGCTCAACGAGCTTTGCAAATTTTGCAGATGGCGCCAATCGGGAGGAGGAGTCGCCTGGTCTAGAGGGGTATCACGTCTAATCAAGTACAACTGGTTGAGTATATTGGCTTGAATGTATCCCGATACTTCAACGCGATGAGAAACTGATGGCCGACAAATGCGTAGAACGGCTTACCGGCAGTGGCAGCTACCATTAAGAGTGGAAGCATGATGATCCTGAACTTTGATTGCCATACGCTATAACATCGGTAAATCTGGCTATTTGTAAGCGCGTAAGCTTGTCTGAGTGGCGCGGGACCTTACCAGCAAACCATCAGCAATGAGTCTGCAGAGGAGGTCGAAATGCATGCATCAGCACCAGCGGCGGAAGTGTTAACAATCGGAAAGCTCACTGGTTCGTGACTAGCAGGGCCTGGGACACGGGCTGCAGCCTGTTCCAAATGTTGAGCTGGCGTGCTCGTGTCTCGTCGCCGTGGTAGCACGCTGAGCATGTGAATCCGACGCAGACACTCTCCGTCACCACTTCATACGTGGACAGGAACTGGGAGAATTGCACAAGGGCGTGTGCGGTGGCCAAGACAAACATGAATACTGCAACCGTCAAGAGTCTGTTGCTGAAGCGCTGATACCCGTAGATACAGATGCAGACTCCGAAGAGTACGAGGTATGATCCTGGGGAAGACGGTGTCTTAGCATATTCCCGGACAAATAGAAGTACTACGTACCGTAGAAGAGTGCTTCGGCCTAGGGTACGGCCCGGGGTTGTTAGTTGTCTACGTTACTATACAAGGTAATACGCATTTACCCAGAGAGAAGCCATTACGGCCTAAGTTGGCACCTGTCAGTACACAGTAATTCATCGAAGGTATTATGGAACGGAGATACCATATAATACGACGAACCGCAGGTCATGGTGAAGGAGCGTGGCGGCAAGCGCGCTTGCAGGTGAGGTAAAGGTAGAGGTGGAGCATCCGCATGCGTTCAGAATCCGATATGCCGTGGATTGCTCATGTATATACGGGAGACCTGACAGGTACGGTCGCGAGCAGCGCGCCAGGCGTCAGAAGAAGCGAACTGGGAATTCGGTACCCGTGATAGCCATGCTCCGCTGATGCCGACTTGTCCATCTGCACCTTCTCAGCGGCAGTTGAAAATTGCCCAGTGCAGGCACCGTCTTTTCATGTCTGGAGAGCTTCTTCTACTTGAACCAGCAGCAGTGAAGGTCTCCACTGGCAGATACCAATCAGTTCCGCCGCGAGACAAGGGAGCCTACTCGCTGGCAGACCGGATCCGATGTATTTGGGCTCGCCCTTAATTATCCACCGCCCCCTGTCGGCATTGGCAGGGACTTCACCCCAGGTCCGATGCGGGATGAGCCAATCTGGGACATGACAGTATGGAGCGCACATGGATCTGGGACATGCTACCGATAGTGTCAGCCGCTAGTTGACATGTCTGGTGTGAACTAGACTGTCTCATACGCAGCTACTTAGAGTCGGGCGAGAAATCCCGTTGCCTCCGAGAACGCCTTAAGGAGAGGAGCCGTAGCAGTGAGAGCAGCCGTTGGGCTGCACTGCCACTTCGGCTCCGAAGACGCATGCTGGCGGGAGAAAATCAGGAACGTCCGGCAGGCCCCGCCCGCCACAGGGTCTTCTTATTATCCGTGGCGACCTTGTTCTCCGCTGGGCATAGTCGTAGATTTTGTGCCATAGTGTTCTGTCCAGAGTCGACAGAGTCCTTACGAAATTGTAGCGAATGAATCCAGGTGATGACATGGAGATGTACTCACAAAACAAGAGCAGGACCGACTTCTCGAGTCCCCGGCGGAATCGCAGGGCTATTCAATGATTGCTATATGGCATAGTGCGACAAGTAACATTTGGTGCAGGTTAAGCTTGGCTAGAAACTCTGAATATGAGTGAGACACAGGCGGCCTGACTATTCGACATCGAAGAAATTAACTGATTGTACCTGATGTCACATTTAGCACATTCGCCATTCCGCTGTACTTGCATATGGAGACCTATGCTGTGACGACGCTCACTCCTCCTCGGGGATCTAGTGTGATGGTCTGCTGGCATGACATTGGTATGAATCCAGTCAGCGATCATAGAAATCAGAGTCGGAAATTACGCCAGGTATTGACACGTTCGGAGGACAGCAGTCATCAGGCCTATAATTTAGGTGTAGTTAGCAGAGGGTAACTTAGCGCTACAGTATGGACTGTGCAACAAATCAATGCAATTAGAGGGTAAACAGTGAAGAGCGAGGCCGCATCACGCAGTGATTTTGGTATCATTGATGAACCAATATCATTCTTCTCGCGACATAAGTTCTAGCACCTGACACGTCCTACTTCCACAACCGGGCTGTGTTGGTGTGTCATGCCTGATATGACAAGGCCGGAGATTTCTTGAAATGTATGTTCTGACACCGGCCACCGTAGCGAGTAGTCTCGCTATAAGCTGTTTGTTCATGCATTGCGCAGGTAGGGACACCCGGGCAACCATAGTCACCAGGCGGAATAGAGTCTGAGAATGTAGCTGGATGGATGTCCTTCTGCAAGTGGTGTGGCGACCCGACGCGTTTCCAGTTCCCCGTTAGTCACGTGCAAGTGGATGGCGGAAGGATCTCACGGTCCCTTGTGGCTTGCGGCGTGCGTGGCTCAGGAGACCTGCAGAAGATCCGCCATTTCAGCGACTTGTACCCTCCAACAACTCAGAAAATTAATGGAAGAAGTCCTCATACGGAACCCCTTGCTGCAGGACGTCCGCGCCTAAGAAGCTCACTCAGTACGAACCTGAATAGCGGAAATCAAGGACCGTATCCCGAATTACGAACACGACTGGACTGCAGCACATTCTGTCCGGCGTAGAGAGGAAACAACTCTTTACGTTAAGCGGGGTGCTCTCGTAAATTTGCTGACCGTGTCCCGGCCTGGAATTACAGTACCCCGAGTTCGGAAGTTCATCCACAGCGAACCATGCCCGTTTCAAAATCCCCACCAAGGACTCGCCCGTGACAGTGAGCTCCCCATTTACCGCACTTCACTGCTCTTCTTCAAAACAGTAGATTGGTGCCGCCTCACGTTTTCTCACAGCCGTCGAGTCGCAACCGATCCGACCGGTACTGCTTCTTCTGAGCTATTTGTGCACTCAAGAGCCGACCAAAGCGGCCCGTATGTGAAAACACAGTATGCTTGCCACCGAGGTACATGGCAAGTCCAATGGAGTGTATATAATGGATACTGCCCCGAGCATGATCGCTCCGGATCGCCCAGTAAGAAGAGCTAGAATATCCAGCAATGGCAATGTCACAGGCACCCCCAATTCTCATCGTGGGTCTACGGATATTATCCCTACGGATCACTTACCCAGACTCGTACTTTAGGCAGGTGCAGGCCCGGTCGGCCTAGTTACCGCCATCGTGTTGCGTCAACACAGTATACCTGTCCGCATCATCGAAAAGGAGCCGGTACCCAAACTCGCATCCAGAGCATCCGGAATCATGGTGTGCAACCTGGATAACTTCTCTGGCCATTGCCTGAGCGATCGTCTCTCTTAGCCTCGCACACTAGAGATTTACCACTTCCTGGGGGTTTTACCGTACATTTTGAAGGCTGCTGGACAAGCACCCGTCATAGTAGATTACGAAATCCCCGGTGGAGAAAGGGTCCTCGAGACATTCAGGATGTTCCCTCATGTCGACGCAACGCCCAGTCGCCCCTTCGTAAGCACATACTTCATTATGACATTTCAGTTGATCACTCATGAGGCGCGACCACAAAGCTCCAATGTAAGGCCTTGTCCCAAAGTCTCAGCCAGGATATTTTGCGGGCACACTTAGCGAGATTCGGAACGGAGGTAGAAATGGGCACGGAGCTGCGCGACTTCGAGCAGTGCGACGATCACGTCGTCGCTAGTATTGTCAAAAAGAGCGCGGATGGCAAAGAGTCAACAGAATCCTATAGCGCGAGTTATTTGGTTGGCACGGACGGCGCCAAAGGTAACGTGCTACTGCCTTCCTATCCATCATATATCCTCATGTTCACTCCAAACTCCAGGCATTACAAGGAGACGACTTGGCTTGACCCTCGATGGGGAATCCCGGGAAAATCTTTCATTTGTCTTTGCTGATATCCGCCTGCGCGGCCTTGAGGGCAATGTACGACATCCTCCTTTGCAACCCGTCTCCTTACTATTGCTCATCCAACGTTTCCTTCATCAGTTTTGGCACAAATGGGGCGAGATATCGAATAAAATGCACGTTGGATGCTGCCATTCCCTTACATAACTAATGGCTGGCTCATACAGGATAACGATCCGCAAGACAGAATTTTCGAAAGAGCATTTCTGGCTACTGGCCGGTGGCCAAAACCTCGATACCAATGGCTTGCAACCCAATCCCAAGTCTGTGACGGAATGGATCAAGTTGCAGACTGGTCGAGGGGACATAGAGATTGTCGAGGTCATCAACTTTTCCAATTACAAGTCAGGACCACCTGTCACTATCGCCCCCGATCTAATTTCTAACGCGGTAACCCTCTTAGACCTAGTATGCGGATGGTGAAAGAGTTCAGCAAAGGGAGGGTATTCCTTGCCGGAGGTAAGCTCTGTCAGCTACAACGATGGTCCTGGGATTGAACTGTGGTATATCAGACGCGGCACACATCCATAGTCCCGCAGGAGGGCAGGTGAGTTCTCTCGATCATGCCTGTCACAAAGAAAGACTAAGAGGTCGTTGTCAGGGTTTGAACAACGGCATTGCTGACGCCGTGAGTAATCTCATCGCGTCGATCTCCCATTCCGCTGACGAGTGAAGGGTTAAGTGGCTCTTGTCATGGCGACTTGCTCTCGCACACAAAGGTCTAGCCTCAGCAGAGCTCTTAGCGAGTTACACCGCAGAACGGGCGCCGGTCATCAAGGTCATGCTCGAACACACCACTGCCATTCTCAATGCCCAAATTGCAGCAACCTGGGGAAAGTTTGGCTACGGGAACTGGCGCCCAGACAAAGCCCCTCTTTGGCAGCTGGACATAAACTATCGTTGGAGCCCAGTTGTCTTTGACGAGACCGCCACAGCTGTCTCAGACGAAACGGCGTCCAACACTGCTCCAGGGGTCCAAGAGGGGAATGATATTCGCGCTGGAGATCGAGCTCCGGATGCTCCTTCACTTCTCGATATACTCTCCGCCCCTCCTTCCGTGAAGCGGCTCTTCGACTATTTCAAATCCACACAGCATACAGTCCTGGTTTTCGCTAGTTCTGAGGCTAAAATCAACTCCTTTGCCTCGGCCCTCAATAATGTTCCGGCCGAAGTTGTGCAGTCCGCTGTCATCATCCCCCAAGAGACTCCCGTGCGTGAACAGGATCTAGAGACCGAGTTTACATGGACAAGCAAGGTCGATCATGCTCTCAAGGATTGTGATGCGCACATGTATAGGGCATATCGACCGGAAGGGTCTCAGGATGAGGTTGCTGTAATTGTCCGACCTGACGATATCATTGGCGCGATAGTGAAGAGTGGAGAAGGCATAACAAAGTACTTCAGTAAGATTCTTGCAGCTTAGGCCGTCAGTACATTGCACGGACTATTCGTACATACCCTGAGTATTTTAATTTGGCTTAGGGGTGCTCCGGAACGTCCGAGTCGTAGAAGTCCGTGCGGTTAACGCACGACAGGCGGCCCAGAATCAACAGGTCCGCGTCGCACTTCCAGTCGATCGTGTGCAAGACCTGATAAGACGACGCACATATACTACACTGGAGCGTCATGCTACGTGACCTAGCAAATGGTTCAGCTCCTGCTCCCCTAACCTACGACGAACGTGCGACAGAATGAACCGCGACAGGACCCCACAAGTTCTTTGGCTGTAATAATTCATCATTGCTCTCATAGGGTACAGCGGTACAGCAACGAGGTGGAAGCTTATCATGGCTTCCCAACGTCCGACAGAACCGCATTAACAATCTCCGTCGCAGTCTTAGGGGCGGGCTTCTTCTTCTTGTTGGGATCCTCGTCGGTACCCACCGCTTGATTAGCCTTCCGTTTCTTCGCAAGGAAGTGCAGGTACGCAAGGCTGTACTGTGGACCCGACGGGCGGGCAACATTCATGGGTGCCCCGGAGAACCACAAAAGCTCGTTCGTCTCGGGATCCCGGTCAAAATGTTTGGCTGCCGAAGATTCTGTCAGTTAACGCTGCATAGTACAGGAGAGCTGGTCAGGGAACATACCCGTCTCGGGAGGAACCTTCTCTAGTACGGCGATACTCGCAAGATTACTCCAACCTCCGGCAGCTGTAATGATAGATCGGTCCTCGGTCGGCCTGTTCTGAGATGACTGTGGCCGCGGCTGCACCTGATGTTGCCCCTGGAAATGCTGGGGATATTGCGAGGTGGAACCAGGGGGAGTCGAGGTCTGTGCACCAGGCACGCCGACATACAAGCCCTTATTCGGACCCGTCTGATCGACAATGCTGTGAGTGCCGGTACGTCGGGGCCGTTTTGCCCCAGGTTCAGCTTTCTCGCCATCTCCTTTCACCGTACTCTCGCCAATCCCACCGGGTCCCTTCACGTTTTTGCCTTTTAGGAAAGGACTGCCGAAACGACGGGGAAAGACGGTGCGTTCGAACGGATATATGGGCATGAAGTCCGGATTCTTGCGGACCTCGTCTGGGATACATGAGTTCCAGTTTTTAATTTTCACGAACAGCCGGTCTCGGTCGTTGTATCGAGAATCACAGACGTATAACGGCCAGCCCGGGTACCAAAAGGGAGGACGTGGGCGACCACGTACGTGCCTAGCAGTAAATTGGCAAGCTATCTTCTCGATGATGTCTTCCAGAGGATGGTCAGCGAAATGACCTGGTGTAACTGTAAGTACAAAATCCTTGAAATGAATACACAAGGTAACTTACTTGTCTTGAAGACCTCGCCTTCCCAGAACTGACGATGGGCAGGGTGTATGGTCTGAGGAATATGAAGCTCCTACATCGTATCATACGAACAATGCCGTACCTGTTCGGGCCGGTTATACCAGCATACAGTTAGCCCGGGCGTTCCTTTCTTCGCGCTATACCCGATGTAACACAATTTTCAAAATCAACGTCCCGCGCAGCTGTACGAAAGACAAATGACCCACGCTTCATCGGACACCCAACACTTGAACACCTGTGCAACAATTGGTTTGCTGGGATCGTCGGGATTGCTCATGTGGAGCCAATCCGCTAGTCGGACGCTCCATCCCTTGTAATGCACCTCGTCGACGAAAGTCCTGTCCTTTATGGAAACTCGGAAGGTGGTGACGCCTGGCACACCCTCGGTGTCACTTGAGTGAAGAGGCCGCGCAGTTCCGGGTCCGGCGCGTAAGGAAGCGAAGTTTGTGGATGATGCATACGGGGGACCGGAAGGCGGGGAGGAGGAAGTTAGAGCTTGATAGAGCCGCTATGTTTCATCAGCTTTACTGTCGCGCAAGAGAATGGAAGCAGTTACCTGAAGTAAACAGACATGACCGTACTTCTCAGTACCGGGCTCATACCATCTACGACCTTTCAAGAATAGGATCTCCATGTCCATGTCGAACGATTTACTGAAAGGATAGCTTTTCATTCGGCAACGGCTCTGCAGCTTGGTCAATGCTTCCACACATTTGCGACATGAACATCTCCAACCTCTATCAACTTGAGTGATATGGGAGACTAGCTTCTGTTTAGCTAGAGTAGAGTGCACTGTAGGAAACTACTTACATTGTAGGGCGTATGTGGGATAGGCCAGTCTTCTGGGAGCGTCTCGAGCGACGCAGAGGGGCGATTACCGCTACTTCAATTAATGGGGTTATGATAACTGTGGTAGAGTAAACCACGAAATTATACTCACACAATGTCCTTATGATTCTTGATAGCTAGAACCAAATCCAGATATACGTCCTAAAGAACTCAATATGCACTTTCTCTCAGCGAGCTATAGCGAATGCACTCACATCATTTGTTTCAGCCATCCACCCTTCGTCGCTGAACCCTTCCCACCGAGGAAGCCCCTTTTCGAGCTGTCGCACTATTTCCTCGCTCTGTTCATCCCTCGCCACCTCCTCCACATGCTCATGATCTGAGGATGCCCCGCCGATATCGATCTCCATCTCCGGCGATGGCGGTCGTGGCGGCGACTTAGGGAGAATAGGTACCGGCTTTGATGTAGAGGGAATAGAGGAAGCGGATCGCTTGACTTGCGGCGTGGGGGCGGGCGCAGGTGCGGGTGTAGGAGGGGCTACCGGCGGTGCGACTGTCGGGGCAGGGGCTATCGGAACAGGAGCCGTGGATACAGCTGTAGGCGCTGCAGGTTGATGAGTCTTCTGTGCAGAGGAGGGTGGAGGAGAGTCGCGCGGGACAGGGAGAACGGATGATCTTTGCTTCCACTCATTGTCCAACATACCCTACGAGGTTAGCAGCGGATGCCGAAATCAGGGAACTGCATCCCAGTAATAAATCCAATACAAGTCACCTTCAGAGTGTTCGCATCTTTCCAAATCTGACTGCCTTCTTCGTTGTAGTACATGGCATTCAGAAACACCAGGTTCAGGTCCTCGTACGCGTCCATCACGTTTCTGTACGAGTTCTTCTTCAGTTTCTCCTGAACACCGTTCATGCTCCTGGGTTGAGGTATGATCTGCATACATTCAACAGCATATCTTACAGGAACAAGCAAGGCATCGCACATCGTAATATTCCGGCCACGCCTCTCTGTCCGGTAACTCTCGAAACATGTCGCATAACCTGCGCTTTCCTCGAGGCCCCGTTGCACTGAGTAAGACATTAATAATCTCTTCAAGCGCAAGTCTCGAGGCAGCGTTGATCGGCATGGCTGGTAGGGTCACTGAATTGTGGCAAATGGCAGTGGACGCGTTGTGTACGCGGAAACTGAGAGCACGATGTGCCGCCGGGCGGTGGCGGTGCAGACTCTATGTATTTATCCCTATTTGCATGGTGGCAACTCACAAGGTTGGACAGTAACAACGCCAAACAACGTCGTTCAGATTCAGAATGAGCACTCGCCGTCATTGCGTGCATACATGAGCAGGAAGTTTCAAAGCACTTCAGGTGCTTTTCAGTCATATGTAAATCTTGCTTAATTCATCACAGACGGGACTGCACCCGAATGCCTTTCACAGAACAGATCCGAGTCATCCCTCACACGTGCTCTACCCAAGCAACCTTTAGATCGCCCCGGGGCACGCAACGGCGCCTGCCCCGTAGATAAGAAGCACGACCCTTTCCTCCACCGCTTGCCATTACTGCAAACCTGACGCCGCCGGGATCGTTCGTGTACAAGGACGGTATTACACTGTAGAATCTCCGTAGTCAGTACAGTTAGCTTGTATCACACACACACCAATAAACGGAACCTCGTCTTATTGCGAGAGATACAAGATAGGTAATTGAGCTAAGCAGATTCAGAGGTAGTTGTTTTCTAACGATCCGCCTGCCCAATCCGTCCATCTATCACTCAGAAACCAAACACGTCCAAACTCGGCGCCACTCGGTGGCGCCCACCTTACACCCTCCCCACTTAGAGCGAGACATTGTCTCTGATGACAATGGGGAGCGATATAATGGTATTATTGTTGTATGAAAATATATTATAATAGGGTCCGAGACTCAATGGTCATCTACATCGCGATTCGGGGTAGTGTCCATGACGAGGATCATCATACAATGCAATTTTGGTATGCGGCGGGAGGAGTGGTCATATTACATAGTGATGCCGCAGGGTATTAATGATTTGATAATGCGATATAAGATTGTTATAGTCCAAATAATAG